ACATAATGGTAATATTCCTCATGGGGAGTTGATACATGTGCATAAAATATGTCAACTTTTTCATCTCTTTGCCTTCTTTCCCTCCCCACTTCCTTCATCTCTTAGTCCACTTGCCTTTCACAAAAAAAGCTATCTTCCAAAGTTCTTTTACCTATCTTGCATCTTGCTCTTTATTTCTAGTGGGTAAACAGCATGGTATTTATACACAGTGCAGCCCTCTGACAGAGGAGGGTGAATGAGCCATTGTGTACACCTGGATGCATGTTGAGTCCACAATGTTAAGCGAAATAAAGCAGATACACAATTTAAGTATAACATGGTTTCTCTTATATAGTAGAGAATTTATAAGAGTTTGATTTTTTTGTCTGAAAGCACATATTTTTAACCTTAGAGTCCATCAGATTAACAAAAAATAGCTTTTGTTGTTGACTACTGTCAGTGTATGTTCTTTATTACATGTATATTCTGTTTTTGAAAAATTTAGTATACTTTTATGAAATATCACCTTTCAAATATGATTTATTCTATTGCATGCATTTTCTTCTTCAAAGACCTTAATTGCACACCCAGTGCATATTTTTGGCATGTCTTCTCTCCTCCTCTAAGTATGTATTTACCTCTTCATTCACTTTTTTTTTTAACTTATGTCTATTTTTTCCATTACACTCACATGGATTCTATTCGAGTTGATTTCCAAAATTTTTCTCTAATCCTGTTATCTTTTTTCATATTTTGTTTATATTTATTCATTTCATATTTAAAATTATTTTGATTTCTGTCACTTTTAAAAAAAAATTTTATTTTAATGAAAATAGTACAAAAAAAGAACAATAGCAAAATACATACAAAACAAAGCAAGGTCATTAAAAATGGTATGGGGTTTCAAACCAAATGATAGGGATTAACAGTGGTCGTTATATTGCATATTGTTATCTTCAATGAAGTTGCTGAGATTATCAGATGTAAGAATAGAAGATTAATGAAATCATTAAAGGGAATATGAAAATAATAATTTAAAAGAACTTTGGAGACAATACATAGTTTCACCAGACAGGATTGTAGGAATTCACCAATGGTTGATAAACTGCAAATTATTGCCATCACATAAGTTGCTCAGATTACCAGATATAAGCATGCAAAATTGGTCAAAATATTAAAAAAATTTTTAATCATTAACTCTTCCCTTCAACAAACCATCATGCACCATCAGTGCAGTTATGCCACCTATCTATCTATCTATCTATCATCTATCTATCTATCTATCTATCTATCTATCTATCTATCTATCTAAATAATGCCTTACTACTTTGTTTTTCTTCTTTCCCTCATCCCAGTTATTCCTCCTTTTAAGCAATTTCTTTCCCTTTCATATTATCTATTGTATGTTTTGGGTTTTATTTAGTCTTTCATGTTCTTTCACTAGGGAGATAATGTGATGTTTACACATGTGGGTCTGATTTATTTCACTTAAGAGTATGGTCTCTAGTTACATCCATTTACCTGTAAAAACCTCAACTTTCTCTTTTTTAATACTCCATTGTATAGAAATACAACATCTTTTTATCCATTCCTCAGTTGATGGGCATTTGGGTTGTTTCCAAGATTCAGCTATGACAAATTGTGCTGCTATAAACATGGGTGCATATATATTGCTGTGGTAGGATCTTTTTAATTCTTCTGGAAAAATACACAGAAGGAGAATAGTTGGGTTAAGTGGGACTTCTAATCCTAGCTTTGTGAGGAATCTCCAAACTGATTTCCACAATGGTTTCACCAATTGACATTCCTACCAGCAGTGGAGAAGTGTTTCTTTTTCCTCACAGCCTCTCCAGTTTTGTCATTAGTTGATTTTTTAATGATAGCCATTCTTTGTGGAGTGAGATGGAATCTCAGTGTTGTTTTAATTTGTAATTCCCAAATGACTAGTGATGTTGAACATTTTTTCGTATATTTGTTTGCCTTTAGTATTTCTGAATCTGAGAAGTGTGTGTTCATCTCAGATACCAGTTTTTGGATTGGGTGTCTCAGTTTTGGGGGTTGATTTTTTAAAAATTCTTCATATGTTCTAGATAGGAGTCCTTTGTCTGAGGGGCAGTTGGCTAAAATTTTTTCCCAAATAGTGGCTTTCCTTTTTACTCTGTTGGTGATTTCTTTTGAAGTGCAGAAATATTCATAAAATGGAATCCCAGTTGTTGATTCTTTGAAGTATTTCCCATGAAGTTTGGTTTTTCTTCATGAACTTTATGCATACCCCTATGTCTTTGAGAGTTTTACCTACTTTCTCTTTCAACAGATTTAGTGTTTCTGCTTTGATATTTAGATCTTTAATCCACTTTGACTTCAGTTTAGTGCATGGTGATAGACATGGGTCTAGTTTTAGTCTTCAGCATGTGGAAAGCCCAGTTTTTCCAGCACCGTTTGTTAAAGAGGCTATCTTTCTTCCTGTGAACATGTATGGCCCCTTTGTAAAAAATAAGATGGCTGAGTGTGTTTGTAGCTGTGTCTCCATCTTCTAATCTGTTACACTGATCTTCAGGTCTATTTTTGTGCCAGTACCATGCTGATTTTATCACAGTAGCTTTGTAGTATAATTTCAAGTCAGGGATTGTGATGCCTCCTGCCTTTCCTTTGTTTCCCAAGATTGCTCTTGCTATTCTAGGCCTTTTCTGGTTCCAGATGAATTTTAGGATTGTTTTCTCTAGATCTGTGAGGTATACTAATGGAATTTTATTGGGATTGCATTGAATCTGTACAATAATTTTGAGAGTATGGCCATTTTACAATGTTGGTTCTTCCTATCCATAAGCAAAGAATATTGTTCCATTTTCTGAAATCCTCTTCCATCTCTGTTTTCAGAGCACTGTAATATTCACTGACATGCTTTACTTCTTTGGTTAGATTGATTCCTAAGTATTTAATTTTTTTAGATACCATTATGAAAGGTGTGGTTTCACTAATTTCTCTCTCAGTCTGCTTGTTATTTGTGAATAGGAATGCTACTGATTTTTGAGTGTTGACTCTGTATTGAGCTATGCTACAGAATTTGATCTTTAAATCTATTAGCCTTTTCGTGGAGTTTTTGGGGTCTTCTCTGTAGAGTATCATGTCATCTGCAAATAATGATATTTTAACTTCTTCCTTTCTTATCTTTATTCTATGTATTTCTTTTTCTTGTCTAATTGGTCTGGGTGATGTTTCCAAAACTGTGCTGAATGGGAGTGGTGATGGTGGACATCTTTGTCTTGTTCCTGATTTTAAAGTGAAAGCTTTCAGTTTTTGACCATTTAGAATGATGTTAGCTGTTGGTTTGTCATAGATGGCTTTGATCAGGTAAAGACCATTTTCCCTATTTTCTGTAGGGTTTTTATCATGAATGCATGTTGGACTTTGTTGAAAGTTTTTTCTACATCTACTGAGATGATCACGTGGTTTTTGTCTTTGGCTCTATTGATATGGTGTATAACATTTTTTGATTTGTGAATATTGAATCATCCCTGCATTCCTGGAATGAATCCAAGTTGGCCATGGTGTATGATTTTCTTGACGATTCATTACATTCTGCTTGCTAGTATTTTGGTGAGAATTTTTGCATCTATGTTCATGAGGGAGACTGGCCTGTAGTTCTCTGTTTTGGTTGTGTCTTTCTCTGATTTGGTATCCTGATAATACTTGCCTCCAGGAATGCATGGGGAGAATTCTTTCCTTTTCAATTTCCTTAAAGAGTTTGTGAGAAATGTTGGCATTAAATGTTCTGTAAATTTCTTGTAGAATTGAGCTCTAAATTCATCAGGACCTGGGCTTTTCTTCACGGCAAGTTTTTTTTATTACATTTTCAATTTTGCTTGCTGATGTATAGTATTATTCAGGATTTTTATATCTTCTTTCAGCTTTGATTGTTCATATGTATCTAGAAATCTGTCCATTTCCTCTGTGTTTTCCATCCTATGAGAGTAAAGATTTTCAAAGTAGGTATTGATGATCTTCTGAATTTCTACAATATCTGTAGTGATTTCATCTCTTTCATTCCTTATTGCATGTATCTCAGTATTTTCTTTCCTTTTTTAATAAGGTTTCCTACGGTTTTATCAATTTTATTCATTTTTTCAAAGAACCAAGTCTTTGATTCACTAATTCTTTGTATTTTTTTTTAGTCTCCATTACATTAATTTCTGCCCTGCACTTTATAATTTCCTACCTTCTCTGGGCTTTTGGTTTGATTTGTTCTTTTTCTGGAAGCTTTACATGCAACATAAGATTGTTTATTTGTACTTATTCTGTTTTCCTGAGGTTTCTGTTTTGTTTTTGTTTTTTTCACAGCAAATGATTTACTTTTTATTAACATCTCCCATCTTAAAACAAACACAAAGGACAGATGAAGCCACAGAACAGGAAAACTTGCTGAACATGCATTGATGGGGGGCAGAGCAGCCAGGGTCAGGCAGCTGTTTGAGCACAGGGAGGCAGCAACCTCTGGGAGTTGGCCTTGACCTGGGGATGCACTGGAATCTGGTTCAGCAGCAGCTGCTCCCTGGACTGGAACTTTAGAAGCCTGGAGATCAGGTTCTGGGCCCCCACAAGCATTGAGAGGGGAAACCACGTCAACCTTGAGGATGCGCCTGTGGATCTTGCTGTGAGAGGTACTCTCAAAGGGTCAGCTGACCACCAGCAGTTCATAGCAGAGCACCCCAATACACCACAGGTCTACCATCTCATCATATGTGCTCCCTTTGATCATTTCTGGCAACAGATAGTCCAGAGTTCCACATATCATCTTACTCAGCGATGGGGTGTGCACAAACCAGCCAAAGTCTTCAATCTTCACCTCACTTCTGACTCTGAGCAGCAGATTCTCTGGCTTGAGGTCCCTGTGAATCACCTTCTTGGCATGGCAGTAGGCCAGGGCCTCTGCCAGCTCCTCCATTGTCGTGGCTGTGCTCTGGTCATCCAAGGTGTGGCTTATGAGCAGCTCCTTGTAGGCACCTTCCAAGGGGCACATTCTGAATGGTATAAATTTCCCTCTGAGGACTGCTTTCATTGCATCTCACAGGTTCCTTTAAGTTGTACCTGCATTTTCATTTGATTGTACATAGTGTTTAATTTCTTCTTTGATTTCATCTGTGACCCATTGATTATTCAGGAGGGTTCTGTTTAATTTCCATGTGTTTATGGAGTTCTTGCACTTTCCTTTGTCATTAATTTCCAATTTTATTGCACTATGGTCTGATAGTATGCATGAGATAATTTCAGCTCCTTTCCATTTCCTTAAGCATATTCTATGTGCTAGCATATGGTCTATTTTAGAGAATGTTCCATGAGCAACTGAGAAGAATGTATATTCTGATATTGTTGGGTGGAACACTCTGCACAGGTCTACTGAATCCAATTTTTCACATGTTTGGTTTAGTTCTGTTATTTCTTTGCTAAAGTTTTGTCTAGTTGATCTATCTCTTCATGACAGTGGGGTATTGAAGTCCCCTGTTATGATTGTGTTGCTGCTTATTTCATTTTTCTTGTTTGTTAAAATTTCCCTTATATGGTTGAGTGCTTCTGTGTTTGGTGCATAGATGTTTATGATTGTTATCTCTTTCTCTTGAAGATTTCCCCTTACAAGTATGTAATGATCTTCTTTATCTTTTTTGATTATTTGTGGTTTGAAGTTCATGTTGTCTGCAAACAGAATAGCTACACCCACTTTTTTCTAGGTTCCTGTCACATGGAATATTGTTTTCCATCCTTTAATTTTTACTCTATGAATTTCCTTTTGAGTTAAATGTGTTTCTTGTATACAGCATATTGTTGGATTTTGTGTTTTGATCATTGGAACAAGTAGACTGCCATGCTACTTCTTTTGGTTGGTGAATTGAGTTCATTTACATTGACAATTATAACTTACATGTATTGGCTTATCTTTGTCATGTTGTTTTCCTGCTGATGGTTCATCTTATTTCCTTCTGTTTAATTGCTTGCTCTGGTTGGTGTTTCCTTTCTGTTGTTCTTAAAGTTGCGGTGTTTTGTTTTTTTTTTTAATCTTTTTCTAGAATATCTTTTAGTACTCTTTGTAGGTTTGATTTGGCACTCATGAAGCTCTTCAGTTGATCTTTATCATGAAAATATTTTATTTCTCCATTGATTTTGAAGGATAGTTTTGCAGGGTACATCAGTCTGGGTTGGAAGTTGTTTTCCAGCCAAGTATTTCAGGACCTGCAATATTTCCCTGCAAGCTCCTCTTGACTTGATGGTTTGTGTTGAGAAATCTACCCTGATTCTGATGGGTTTTCCTTTATACGTGATCTGTTTCTTTTCTCAAACAGTTTTTAACATTTTGTTCTTTTGTTGAATTTCTGGGATCTTGATCACTATATGTCTGGGTGTAGATTTATTTTTGTTATGGCTCGTTGGAGTTCTATATGTGTCATTTATTGGATTTCCAGTTATTTTTCCATGTTTGGGAAATTTTCTGCTATTACTTCTGCAAATAGTCTTTTTATGTCATTTGTGCTGACACCTTCTGTTCCACTGATATCTATTAATCTTACATTGTTTTTCTTTGCTGCTTCTTGCAGTGGTTGAATTGTTATTTCTTGGTTTCTTGTCATTTTTAAGAGATCCTTCCTTTCATGATCATTCACAGCAATGCTGTCTTCAAGGTCTGAAAATCTATCTTCACCTTCATTCAAGGGGTTTTGCCAACTTTCAATGGAAGTTTTAATTTCCTGGATATCTGTTTGAATGTGTTTCATGTATTCCAGTTCTTTCCTATACTTTTTTTTAATTTTAAAAATAGAAGTAGGAAAACATTAACAGACAGACAACATTTTACAAAATAGCAGAAGAACAGTACAGACAATACAGAGTTACAAACAAAGTGGTAGGAAATTAAAATGCTTGTTGTATTACATATTGATATCTTCAAAGTGGATTCTCATGAAAACAGATATAGGCATGCAATACTGATTAACCAAGATTTCCATTAATTTACTATGCTCCTTTATTTTTTTCTTATGTCTTCTTTAGATGTGCTAAGCAATTCTTTCATTAGTGTTGTCATTTCTTTTTTACCTCAGAGATTGTTTCTGATTGGATGTCTTCTATGGCCTGATGGAGTTGTTTCTTTACTTCACCTGCTATCATTTCAGAAATTTTGGATGTATTACTTCCAAGCTCTTCTGTGTCTATATCTCCTGGACTTGTTCTCAGTAAGGTAGAGGTCTGGGATTGCATTTTGCTCCTTCATTTAGTCATTTTCAGAGATGCACAGGTTCCCTGGAGCTCAGCCTCACTCTCAGGATGATGATGTAGTAGTGGGGCAAGTACCCAAAGGTCCCAACTTTTCAGTGTGACTCCCTGGATGTTGTGTGTGTGGGGGAAGGGTGTGATCTCCAATGCTCCCACAGCTGTCCAGGGCTCAGGTTGGCTCCCACTCAGGGGTTCCCAAAGCTGTCTGGGATTCAGCCCTGTTTCTACTTGGGTGTAGTAGTGGGCAAGTCCTGGTCACTGGGGATCCATATACTGCCCCTACCCCACCCAGATTCCACACCAGTGGGAGGGTAAGTTGCAGTCACTGAGGCCCATGAAGCTGAATGAGTTTCAGCTTAGCTCCCCTGAGGGTGCAGCATGGGTGCAGGGAGGGGCACCCAAGGCCCTTGAGGTTGTCTGGGGCTCCCCTTGGCTCCCAAGCTGGTGAGGCAGAGGTGGGAAGGGCTCACAGGCATTCCTGAAGCTGTCTGAGGTTCAGCTCAGCTCCAATGGAGAGGAGGGGAGGAGAGTGGACCCCAGGCACATAAAGCTGTATGGGTCCTTGCCTGGTTCCCAAGCTCGTGGGGCAGGGGTGGCAACAGCTCACCAGTGTTCTTGAATTTATCTGAGGTTCACCTCAGCTCCAACAGGGTGGAGGTGCGGAAGGGTAGGAAGTAGATCCCAGGACCCTAAAGCTGTATGAGTTCTTACCTGGCTTACAAGCTCATGGGGGAGGGGTGGCAGCAGCTCACTGAAGTTCCCAAAGCTGTCGGAGGTGCAGCTGTGCTCCAACAGGTGATTTCTCTCATTTTAAGCTTCTTTCATCTTAGAATTTAAAGCTTTGTATAATAGGAAGTAGTTTCATCTTTGGGATCAGGATAATTTCCTACTTATCTTTGGTTTTCTATTTCTATATTATTCAGTTGCTGTCTTTTTCTCAACAAAATATTTTCGAGAACCAAGACTGCAATCATTTTATGCTGAGTGTGTTTATATGGAATGTGTTTTACCAAAATTTTTAAAATATGTCCTTGAATGAGGAAAACAAAGTGGCAGGTTTTAGAGTTTCACTGACCAAAGTTACATTTTCTGTTTTTAATATTAAGTATTTACAAAGGTCCTCAAGGCTAATCACTTTCACATTTCTAACGTTTGTGTCTTAAGGAACTTTCTACTTGACTCTTATGCCAGAATATTTTCTTTATCTGTAGTCTTCCTACCAGCTCTTTTTCTTTTAACTCCCAGAAATTCTCTCTGTAGTCTTACAGAGAGTCTTTTAACTCCCAGAAATTATCTCTGTAGTCTTACAGTTTGTCTTCTGAAAAAAAAAAAAACAACAACAACAACAACAACAAAAAAAACAACTTTTGGAGTATTTCTCAAGCCCCTCATGTAGTGTAACCACTCCTCTCTATTTGCCTGGGAATGTGTTATCCCTGAAAGTCCTGAACCAGGCAATCTCTGGACTCCAAGGTGAGCTGGAAACATTCCTCACTGTACCATGCACCTTTTTGCTCTAGTGTAGTTGATCCTCCACTTAGGAGGGATAAACCTGGCCTGGTGAAACTCTTGTAAGTTGAAGATACTGTTAGGTTGAAAATGCATGCTAGGCGTGCTTACATCTAACATACCAGACGGCACAGCTTTGCTATGCTTATCTTGAACATGCTCAGAATACATTAGTCTACAGTCAAAATGATGTGACAGAAAGTCTATTTTCATAATTAAGTGTCATATAATTGAATATTGTATTGAACTTGAAAAGCAGAAATGTTGTATGGATATATTTTGTATTATATATTGAAGTTACAAGTTCTGAAATTGGAATATTTTAAGTTGGAAATCTTATATACTAGAGTTGCACTCTGGTCTATTCTACTTTGATAATAAATTTTCTTTTTAATGAATTGAACCAGCTTTAATGTTCTGCTTCCATCAACAACCAATATATCATTTTAATTTGGTTTAAGTTGCTATAATCAAGAATATATGTGTCAAGGCAGAATATAGCAATAAAAAAGCAGCAGTTTCCATTATACAAAATAATCATCCACTTTTTCCTATTGGTTTATATGAGGCTAAATGAGTCCTCAAATTTTGATTATTTTTCCTTAGGAAATGCAACTTTCTTCATGTCTTTTTGAGATGGCGTTTTACTATGTAGTTCAGAATGGCCTTGAACTCACTTTGTAGCCTAGGCTGACCACACAGTAATACACCTGCCTCAGTCTCCTGAGTGCTGGGATTACAGTTGTGTGCCACCATGCTTGCCTGGAAATACAACTTTGATAGTGGAAGAAATTGCAGTTATTTCTGTTTTTATTATTTAGAAAGAAAGAAAGAAAGAAACAAAGAAAGAAAGAAGAAAGGGAGGAGCAGGCAAAGCAGAGGATAATATTAAAGGCTAATTTAATGCCTAATAAAAATGTTACAATTTAATTTTAAGCCATCAGATGCTTTCTGGAACAAAGTAAAAAAAATTACATAGTAAATATTAAACTATTTAAAATATTACATAAACAAAAGTGGTAATATATTTTATTTGATCTCATACTGTGTTGGTATTTCACACTTTGCCATAAGTTTTTGGTTTTCTTCAAGAGTTGTTATAGAGTAACACACTTAAGGTGTTTGTTATTTGAATGGAATTTTGAAATAACTGTCAACTAAAGTCACGAATATTGTTGTGATATGTGAACAAAATACCATACAAAGTCCTCATGATAGTTTTAATATCTCTTTCAGGCAGTGCACACGATT